AAGATCACCTTAACAGGAAATCAATGTATTCAATATTATAGTCCAAATCTGTGTAGTATAATGGGGCTTATTTCAGAACCCACATGCAACAACAGTAGGCCTTAGCCAATCACAACTATACCTCCTGTTAATCATGCTAACTGTGCCACATAACCTTTTGGCATTTTTTATCAGTTTGGTATTGCATATTTACATTACTATAGTATCCTTTTTCTCTTATTGGATCCTCTTCAGGTAAGACTGAGTAGACCTCTTGCTTCTTTAAGCACAAAGTCTTCTTAGTGTAGCCACAGACTGACTGTTCCCCACAATTCACTTGATGGCGTCCACACTAACTGTTTCAGTCTAACTTTCTATATAGCGCTCAGCTCCTTTAAAGTAATAATGCTTTCTCAAAATCCACTCAATGATCTCTTAGTCACTATATTTTAACTAATGTTTCTGTTCCAACTCACTTCTGTTCTGCAAGGTATTCAAAACCCATCTCATCTCTTGCTCTACAGCCATCCTCTGGCTGTCTCAGGACACACATCATCCAGGTGTTGGGACACAGAGCATTTCATAGGTTTCGCTCTGTACCAAGAAGGTAAGCTGCTACCTTGCCAGGCAATGTCTCCCTCCTCCTCCAGTCAGCCCTGCTCCAGTAATGTCACGCCCTCTGCAGCCAGAGGGCGCTCCTACTCTGTCCTGTCCCTAGTTTCCTGCCTGCTGTCCTTCCAGTCCCTCTCTTTCCCTTGGGCTATATATTTCCGGGTCTTGCACTCTGCCCTCCCTCAGTATTGACGTTCGGATGTCCTGAAACCCGCCTAACCACCCAGGTCACCCCACGTCCGCTGCCTGAGGGCATTGGTTTCTATCTGACTCCTGAACTGCTGAGCCCGGGCCTTTTTCCCGTTCTGCCGCTACGCATATGGGTCTTTTTCCACTCCCCTGCTCTCCACCGTTAGTCCCTTTGGACATCCGTGACAAGTAAAGCATTCCTGTTCCTTGGTAGCATTATTCTTCAGCATCAGACTTGGCAAACAAACTCTCAGGAACCTGCAACATACAGTACAGTGGATATAAAAAGTCTACATACCCTTATTGAAATTGCAGGTTTTTGTGATGTAGAGACAGAAATCAAGATAAATCATGCCAGACATTTTTCCCCAATCTTTAATGTGACCTTGCAACCAACAAAATTCAAGAGAAAAACAAATAGAGAATTATTAGGAAAAATAATTTAAATTAAAAAGCCTACAGCACCCTGGTTTTATAAGTCTGCACACACCCCCAGCTAATACTTTGTGGAACTACGTTTTGCATTTATTACAGCAGTAAGTCTTTGTGAATAAGTCTCTATCAACTTTACACACCTGGGTATAGTGTTACATTATACATTAGGTATGGTGTTCTTTGAATGATGGGCTATGCTGTCTTCGCGCCAAACCTGTCTTTTAGAATTAAGGCCAAAAACTTCAACCTTTGTCTTATCAAACTAAGACATTTTCCCACATGGTTTGGGAAGTTAGATGGACTTGGATGTTCTTTTTTGTGAAAAATGGCTTCCGTCTTGCCACCCTACCCCATAGCCGAATACGGAAGATTGTTGTCACATGCAAGGAGTGACCAGTACCTGCAAGAAATTCCTGCAGCTCCTTTAATGTTGCCTCTTGGTAGCCTCCCTGATCTTGGCAATGTCCCTGTCTCCCCACTTATTGATGATAGTCTTCACAGTGCTGCATGGTACATCCAATGCCTTTGATATTCTTTTATACCCCTCTCCTGATCGGTACCTTTCAACAATAAGATCCCTAGATGTTTTGTCAGCACCTTGCGGACCATGGCTATCACAGCATGATGCAACCCGAAAGTTTCAAGGAAATCCTACAGGAAAAGCTGATTTTTATTTGGGGTTAATCAATCATTTTCATTGATGGCAGGTGTATGCTACTTACCTTACATGATTTTGATGATGAATTTGATTGGTTAACTCTGAACACATTTATAGACCCCATTGTTAAAAGGTGTGCACACTTATGCAACCAGGGTGTAGGTTTTTTCATTTCAATTATTTTTCCTAATATTTATCTGTTTGTTTTTCTTTTGAATTTTGTTGTTTGTAAGGTCACATTAAAGATGGAAAAATGTCTGACAACTTTTCTTGAGTTCTGGCTTCACATCACAAAAACCTGCGATTTCAATAAGGGTGTGTGACAAAGGAGCCTGTCACGAGGTACAGATAGCACAGGAAATACATATTCATACACCTTCTGTTGAGTGGATGCTAGATAAGTTCCTGGGGGTGCACACACAGGGTTTAACTAGTAACTGCTATTACTTAATTTCATATAAATTCACATACTTAAACACAGGTATGAGTGAGTACTGTGGTGTGAATGGAGAGCGCTCTTAAAATGGATGATACTCAGTTTGTTTGGTCTCGGTACTTCCGGGGTGGGTCAGCCTATGGTGGCCTCAGAAGGCCAAACCTAACCCCAGTTCTCAAGGCTTATTTAAGGAGATGGGAAAAACCATGCATTGAATTGGGAAATGGTTTGTTCCAGAGGGGAAGGGGCTTACAAGCTATTTAAGCTGGCTCCTCAGCCTAAGAGGGAGTTGGTTGTTGGTTGTTGGTGGTTGGTATGTCAGGTAGTGTGACTGAAAACAGAAAGAAAGCAATAAGGAGGATTTATCTTCATTTGAAGAAGTAGTTTTGTTTCTTTTTGGGGTTTTGTTTTCTGGTGTGGGGGACTGGGAGCACTGTTAATAAACTGCACTTATTTTACTTGAGTGTTTTTGCGGTGGAGCCATTCTGTTATAAAATGGACCTACTTTGGCCTTCCTCAGGCCATTGTGTGACAGGGTGTGTAGACTTTTTATATTCACTGTACCTCAGTGTAGCAGTCTCTACATCTTAAATCAACTCTTTTCTTCAGGCTGCTCCCCTGCAAACCTGGACATCCAAGGAGCAGCTCATTCCATATGGAACCTATCCTTATTTCTCCCTTTCCTTACAGAGATAGTCATTCACTCCCGGTGCTGTCAATCCACCAATGTCTAATTCAGTGTCCATCTACAGTGCCAAAAGATTTTGTGAACCCCAAACAACAAAGATAAATAAGGAAATGTAATAGTTTTACCATGATAACCTTAATGAAAACCAGCCTTTATGTATACATCCAATAGGGTTTATAGTAACCAATTCCACGTCTCTTGAAATTAAACAATGTATCAATTAAACAAAACTTTGTAGGTTTTATAGATGCATTTTTGAAATTGCAAAATTCACATCAGTACAAAAAAGGTTGATTAGGTGTTCAGAAGTCCCCCCTTCTTTTAAACAAACTGCCCTTATGAAGAAAACTCTCCTTGCTATGCTGTCTTTTGTAAAGGTTTTACCTTGGTATTTGAGACCTGTGGTATTTGGTTTCATGAAGTGTCGTACTGAAGGCAGGAAAAAAGTATGCCTAACTGGGGACGATGAGGATTCCAATATGTTATTCTGATTTATACTATCCACTTCAACATTACCTTTCTGCCCTTTGGATTTTAATTTAAAAAAAAAAATCTCAAACTTAAACTCAAAAGTTTCTTTGCTTAAATATACTGCTGCTCCCAACAAAAATCTTCAATGTCAGCATTTTAGGAGTATGAAAACTACCAGACGTCTGCTTTTTTCTTCTCATGCTCTATAAAAATTACATGTAAATAATAAGCTTATATTTCACTAAACTCATTTACATGTGAGGCATGTGAAAAACAACTCTACTGAACATTTTTAGCTATACTGTAATAAACTTAATGCGGTTCTCAACCATAGCTTTCATAGAACCTACAGAACTGTGTGTGATGGAAAGAGCAGGCAAAAAAAAAAAGCTTTAAAAGGCACAAGTCAGGCAGGAAGCTAAACGCTGTACTCATTTTGCAGTTTGAGAAGTGAAGTGCTTTTGCAAGGGTTCCTTTCTTTGGCGAAGGGAATCTAGAACTCAATTATCACATCACTGGGGGGAAAGCCAGGAAACGCAGATTCTCATCTGTAGCGACAGCACCTCCACATAGAGATGCCTCCTCCTGCCAAGGCGTCTACCTAGACCTGTAGAAAATATTCAATTTATTTTTATATAGCACCTTTCACAACGGGGTTGCCCCGAGGCGCTTAACAATGCAAGTGACCATATATTTTGTCAAATAAATACCAGTCCTGTCCCTCTCCCCTGAGCACTCATAGAATTTGTGTTCCCCCCCCCCCCCACATGTATAGGAGTAGTGATTTCCTACACCCTGTGACAAAGAATAACTTTGTGGAATGCCACCTTTAATGGAGAGAAGGAGCCCCAAGTCTTGCTAAACAGCAGCTCTACAAGATACCAGACCTTAGACCCAATTTTCAGAGATTGTCCCCCTAACACCTCTGTCGTTCCCTAGATCCACTACCAATACGGCACTCTTGGATGATCAGGGACTCAACTACCTCGTCATACAACCGGTCACTCTAACCAAGTGGCTTAGAGAGCCAAAAATCAAATACTTAAGCAAACCTTCAAGACATGAAGTGCTCTTGACCCCCAATGACTTACTGTACTTGAGATCTTGTTTGGTCTTAGGATACACATTCAGAGGATTAAACAATGAGAACATAATTCAGGAAGAAACTTCCAAGTTATAAAAAAACCTTTAGTACTTTTAGCAAGGTGACAATTTAAGTCAGACAAGCCTACAAGAGGGAAAAAGGCTGACCACTTGGGAACTGCCAGTTCACAAAAGGCATGTGCTAATCTCTAAGACCCATTCACAAACAGAAGGGTCTGGGCCACTTAACTTTAGTGTTAATATAATAACATATCAGATACAGGAAAGTAAGTGAGTTAATTACAAACAACTTTGTTTTTATTTGTTTTCCAAAAATAATCAGTTCTCGCAACACTGTTGGAACAAAGTATAAAGCAACATGCAAAGGGCATCATCATAAAAAAAAATAATAACCTTCAGATTAATAAAGAAAATAAACCACTCAAACATCAATCTGCTCATTTGTATTTATTTTATCACCCTGCCCCTAATACAATATAACAAAGCTCAATGTCAAAAACATGATTTAGATTATACTATGCAATTCTTTTACTTTATCTATAGAGTGTGCTAAAGGATACGTCTTTCACACCTGACAACAGGAAAAAGACAGACAAAACAATAATGATTTTAATACTTAATATGCATATATACAGAAAATAGGGAAATAAATACGAAGATAAATTAATTTGATCCTAATCCTACTTATGCTTCCCATTAAACATGGCTTAAGGGGGGGGTAAAAACAGTAACATGGGCCCCGACGGGCATCTATATGAATTCTCCGACATCCACCCTTTTGTCCCGAAACTTGCTCCGGGCCTTGGTCCTAGCTTTAAACGCAGCAGCGTTGTACAAGTGCTGAAAACAGAAAAACAAATAAAAATGTCAAACTTTCATTAACAAGAAGCATTTTTTTCCCCAATACCTTTCTCCAACACTATGTCAATGCATTTACCAAAGACCTAAAAACAACACCACAATCCGGTTTAGGGTTCAAGACAAGGGGATGCCATGCGTCTGCCCCATTAAAACGAGACTGCACTCAGATATTCCTATTCATTTTCATTAAATGTAATAATTACACAAGCGCGTTTGACACAACATTCTGCCTCTAGGAAAGAGATTACCAACAGGTCAGGGCTGATGACATTACCCTCTCGAAGCGGGAGATTTTCATCGCCTTCAGTGCGGCGGAATCAACCACCAAAGGGGCTCCGAGCTCAAAGACATTCCGAATAAACTCATTAGCCTGGGAAGGAGCACAAGGACATGGGTTAATTTTGTCGACTAAATTGAAGAGGAATGTTCAACAACAAGCGGTTTTTCAATTTAGTCAGAGACAAAAATGTTCACTATTATCATCCACAAGAACGAGGATGAGGACTAAATAGCTTTACATTTCTGTTTCAGCAAATGAGGCAAAAATCACTTGTTTGACTAAAATGCAGATGAATATTAATTTTGTTACATGCCTTCTATCTTACAAGTAGTACAGGCACACTATGACTTACAGGAGTAATTCTAGGTAGATTGCAAGGACTAATATTCTAAGATAAATGGCAAGTATCGGGGTATGCCATTCCTCTTTTCATTTTGTCCATCATGAACCCTGATTGTGTTCATTTATGGGGAGCCTGCGCAAACGATGAGAAGATTTCTAATACTGAACGAATTAGATTAAGTAAACCAGAACACCTTGATAAACAGAGATTATTTTCTTGTAGCCACTGCTTATCTGGCTGGAAGCCAAATAAACTCTTAAGCCTATAAAAGGTGCACTAGAAATAATGCAGCAGCATATAGCGAGGAAATGAGGTGGGGACAATGAACAAAACAGAGGGTAACTTCACACTGAAAAGTTGTAAAAACAATGTCATATACTTTATAGAATCTTAACATACCACAACAGAAACGTAATACACACATACCTGTTCAGAATAAGAAGTATGCCCTGTGTAAAGACAAAATGGCCACCATTGCCCACCTGCAGGTGATAGTTCATCCCAGATCCTACAAGCTCCCGAAAGGCATCGTAGGTTCTCTTCTTCACCCAGCAGTCGATGTACATGCGCTCAGAAGCAAACCGGATCGTCTCCGTCTGGAAATCGCCCTCCTGCCCACAATAAAATCCAACTGGAATTGTTAACAGGTGGACTGTTCTAAAACTTCAGATACCTAACAAGGCAGAACGGTTATCACAACCTAAAGTTAAGGTTTGTACATCGTACCATTACAATAAACCAGGTCATCGGAAGTGACCCGTGACCAGAATACAAAACTAAAGTCCTAACAGTGAGGCACAATTATAAAACTCACGTATAAAAATCTCACAATTTCCTGCAAACTAAGCTTAAAGTAAAAAGCTCTTTAGTCTTGCTCACCTTCATTTAGACATCTAAAAAAACAAGTTGGTACAGGTGTGCAGATGCAATTAATAAATCTAGCATTCAGCCTCATTTTTTTTTTGAAGAATGTTTGCATTCTAAAAACAAACCATTTTCCCAGATTGTGAAAGAAGCCTTAAGAAGTCTAGTGCCTTGCTCATTTTCAGATGTGAAATATGAATACTAACCACGCACAAAGTGAACCAAAGGCTTCTGGAGTTTGCATTGGATTCTCCCAGGCCCCTGAACACTATACCAAGTCATTGCACAGTTTAGCAATTTCTCCAAAATATTAAGAACTTTAGAGGTACAGTACCAAGGAGCTTTTTGGTCTTAAAGCGGAATTCAGAAAAGGTTAGTTATTACTTTCAGTTCAGCTCTCACCTCCACAGCCTTGAGCACATCTCTGAAGACAGACCTCTGCTTCCTTTTGTCATTTTTGGCTCTGTGCTTGTTACCGTCTGTGGCAAGAGCATTCAGGTTTGCACACAAAGACTCCAAATCTTCATATTCAAACTCCTGAGGGCAGACAAATGAAGCCTCCGATATTAGAAAAAACTAATACTCATACTCGATTTTCATAATACCTGAAGCAAGCATAGGCAATGTGAAAATACTATATCCTTTGCCACTGAAAACTCCTGCGGCCTAAAATAAAAATAATAAAAGTTTTTTCTTTCCCAGTCAAATATACATCATATTTGTAATTTAGTAGTAATTAATAGGTATGTATTTTTCACCAATATCTTTTTCAGATACATTCATTACTCACTATACGAGCACAGCTGGTTTAAAATGTATGCTTGTAGACAAAAACTAAAAGACACTAAATTTCCATGAAAATACACGCAAGTCTCCAATTTGTTACAACTTCTTGTAACTCGGCACAAACCCGTTGAGTTCAGGCACTTTTCTAAAGAATAGTTTGGCTCCGAAAATTGCTGAGTGTATGTAACAACAAGCAGAACTGACCAATACATCTTTTTTTATTGCAGCTATTATGTTTAAATGTACTGTGAAAGAGTTGCTTGAAGAAACCAATTAAAAGGTTTTGTAAAAACATGTTTATTATTTTATTTAATAAATCTTGCACAGGCAAGGATGTAATAAAACCCATAACTGTAAAAGTAAGATAGATCGAGATGTCTGGCGATACCGATGCATGTACTATGAATGCAAAGTAATCAAAACAATTCATGAATGTTAAAATGTTATACTATGAATCAATATGCATTCAAAATATTCTACTCTATAACTAGTACAATACCCTTACAATTTGTAAGACTGAACCACCATGTAGTTAATAAAAATAATGATTGGTGACATTAAGACTGTGCATTCACAGTGTGCAGGATGAAATTTAGAAATCAAGTTTGTGAAGTGTAACCAGCTTTCATATTTGGTCCTTAATTAAATAAGTGAAAATGGAAAAAACTTAAGTTTAATATTGGCATTAGTGCAGATGGCAGCAGCCGAGAGGTCAGCAAAATAAAAATGGAAGAATGAAGCTGCATGCTTGAAGCTTGTATTAGGGAAAGTTCACTTGTCTAAAAGTCGCGTCTTTAAGCAAGTAATCATAAGTAAAGTGCTTGTTTAGTGAGGCATGAGTATTTACTTTATAATGTTTGTCTATTGATGAGCACAGATACCACAACAGACATGTATACAGTAGATCACATTTAAATACTCAAAATGTGAAAGGCATTTATTGAAATAAATTAGTAAAAGTAACTCCTGCGCTACTCAAGTGTAGCAGAGAATCAACATTTTACAGAGGACTTCACAGCATCTCTGAAGACCCGGCTTACAAGCATGCAAGATCAGTTGTGTCAACCCTACAGTCTACTTGGAGAGAACCGTGAAGCACCTGAAGTTTTTTTTTTAATAATTACAATTAAAGACTACTTTAGTTGACTTACGGCATCCAAGTCTCTTGCCAATTCAAAGATAAGGGCAATGGTCTCTCCTGCAGCAATCCTCATATTGACGTCATCACTTTCTAGAAGGCTGGGAAGTCTAGGTAAGTGTCTGGAATTAACAGGATATTATCAGCAACACTTACAAGGGCACATATTACAAAAAGGAAAACAAATCTTCACCACAAAAGAAAAAAATATTCATAATGTAGTTTAATCAAGAAATACATATTATTTTTCCCCTATGCATTTCCTAGTATGGAAAATCTTTAGTTATGCCAAGTTATTTACAACATATTTAGGATTAACACTGACTTGACTTCTTTGAAAAGAGTTCGGATAATGACAAATATTCAAGAAAAAAAAAAGTCACACACACCCTTAGCAAGACAACAGGGAGATAATAAAAATATTATATTAAATGTGCAAAGTAACTGTCACTTCATTGTTCAGAATCTCTCCAGGAGCTTCTGATTACAAACTTGCGATACCATCATAGCTGGAAACAGTACATTGCACAATTATAAATCTTAGGGAAAGAGTGGAATACTTTTTCAGAATTTTCTTCACTTCCGTGTTGGAGCAAATGGTCAGCAGTAGTGCCCACGCCAAAAGTGCACTGATGTGAAGCGCTGTAGTTTGGGCGTTAAAGACTGACTGAGTCCCATCTTCCTTCGTATACGATTTTGCGAAGAGGCTTTCGAAGCATTCCATGGTTGCGTACACATCCTGGTGTACAAAAGCAGAACGAAACAATGACTGTCTGGTGCCTAGCAGCATTTTGAAGACTCATCTTTGAATAGCCCACCAAAAACTCACTATAAATAAATGCTGTAACAGATTTGCTAATATAGTGCATTAGATCACAGCCAAGCCAAAGGAACAACAGGTGCAGAACTCGTTATGAGAAGCACTGCATCATCAAGAAACAACAGCTGTGCATGGACGCACAGTAAACCCCTCAGTTTAAAAGAGTACTGGGGGGAAGGCGTGTGCATTAAATCACAAACAATGTTCTTTCAGCCCAAAAACACACTATGATATAAAAATGTATATATAAGCTTCATGGACTTTTTCTGGAAATTGCAATTAAAGTAAAAGAAAATTGTGCCTTTTCATCATAAATAAAATACGTTCTGGCTAACAAGCATTTATGCTTCACACCACTATGAGCCAGAAAATAAAGAAAATGAGAATTGAAAAAGGGACCAGAGGTTATCCCATATTAGAACTTATGTATATTTTAATTTTGTAAAAATGGTGATTTGTAATTGCTGAAAACATTTGCACAATCAGTTACCCATAACAATGGTTCACTGCATGTTTCACAAAAGAGAATACAAACTACACATAAAGGAAGAGGAGGACTGCAGAGCAACGCTAAAAATCAATCTGTAATTTCCAAAATGAAAACATTAGTGGAAATCTTATTTTTGGTCAAGCGATTCATGTAAAATATGAAAATGTCGCCAAATGGCTTATAAAAACTTCAAATGTCAAACTCACTATCATGTAGGCTTTACATCTTTGAATTTCAAACTGTTCCTTGACTTACATGAATAACATTTTGTGGGATAACTAAAATCGATGTTGTTAAATAGAACATTTGTTACTTATTACCAATTATATTTGTTTTCTTAGCAAAATGGGTCACTGTGTGCTTTTATTACTTATTTTAGGACAGCATGCCATGTCTGGAAAAAGCAAAACATTCCCATGCATGAAGATTCATGGAGAAAGATATGAAGAAATAAGGGAAACGGAGTTCATTTTAGGGTGCAAAGCACCACTCATTTTTTACCCGTTTTTTAAAATAAAGATGTTCACAAGAAGTTAACTATACACAACTTTTTCCAGTCTGCAACATTAACCATTCAGCAATTCTGAAATTGTTACTGAATTCACCACTATTCTTTTCAAGGATGTTTATGTGAACAAAATTTTGCAGACAAGGTCTTGTGCTATGGAACTGGAACAATGTATTCTATGCATCACTGTGTACGCTAACCAAATGCTTCTCCTGGCTACAGAATTCAAACCTCCACTTCATCCCGAGTTTCACTAAGAAATGGTTTCAGCTCAATCAGATAAAAGGCAAGTAACTAGAAGAAAATGTCCACAGGTCACACCATATTCACCCTCTCATTTACAAAAATATCTTGGTTAAATATTCGGCAACTTTGTCTTCATACTCAATACGAATGGGGAGCGTCTGCCATGACCATTTACAATTTGCTTGGAGTTACTATTCATGATGTAACAAACATTAAAATCTTACCAAGATATCATCTTCAGCAACCAAGCTGCAAACACCCAAACTGGTTGCACACTGAAACAAAAAGATGGAATATTAACAAAAACATGATAGGTTAGCCATTGACAAAAAACAGGAAAGTACTGTTAAAGCTTAGCTGTTCTAATACAGTATTACGTTGTATGGTATTTGAAGTTTCAAAATTGAGAACTAAAACAACTCAAAACTGAGAAACAGGTTTGGTCTAGAATTACCTTTAGAGCCAACCCTGTGGTTTTCTGTGGAAGGCTATTAGCATTTGACCTTTACAGTAAGAGGAAGGGCCTCAACACATGTGTTTTTTTTATATAAATGAGCTGACTGCAGACAAGAGCATTAAAAACACTTCCCATGAAAAACCAACCAGAAGCCTGCAAGGAAAGTTGCCGCTTTTGTCTAAAATGTACAGAGCTAGTACCAGATGAAAACAAGAACACTCACTGCCTGCCGAGCTTGGATGTTGGCCGTTCTGTCTGCAAGAATATTCATGAAAATGGGTTTCAAAGTCTTAAAAACTTCTTCGCTTTCAATCCCTGATCCCAGCTGAATGCAGAGGAGACAAGCCAAGGTCGCGGCAGCACGCTGTTCGTCACCTTTGCCTTGAGAGAGAAGGAAAAAAAAAAGCTAAGACAATAATGCTCTTATAAAAGAAGGAATGGAACATTTCTCTTAATACAGGATATGCTGCTACAGAAATTCCAAAAGGAGTAGCAGGTCATGAAGGTCAAGTTTAATATGTGACCAACTTGTAAATGCAAAGGTAGTCAACCAGCACCTACAGTAACAGAATTCAACATTTGTGGAGTCTTTTCTTCAATATTTGCATCAAAACTTACGTCCTCACATTATTCAGAAAGACTACAATTACAAATGTCTTAAAAAACATTCCTATATGCAAGCCTACAAAATTTCAATAGTATTCAAAAATTACTTACTACTCCAAAAGCTCACTTAATAAACTATTATATTTCATAAAGTTATCACCTGCACTGGGCAAATTCTAGAGCAATTTCAAGCCTGGAATAAAAGGCTGGTTAATGGCACACATGACAGGAATGAGGTTATGAATTATTACTACCATTTAAAGTAGCTGCATTAGTTCACACACCAAGAAGCTCAAACAGAAATTTAGCTGCTGCTGCATTACAAAATTGAATGCCTGTATTCAGGAAATTCTATGCAAGACATCCATTCTGGAAGTACAATCACAACATGACAAGGTTTAAAGTGTGCTTTACTGTAAATCTGACCAAACCAATCAGACGGTTTCTTTCAAGAAACAGTTGGACAAGACCCTCAAATCAATTAGCTACTAGCAATCTAACGAGAAAGATGAGTACAATGGCACCAAGGATAAAAAGGGAGAAAAAAGCTTATTAATGCATTACCTTTCTTCAAACACCGCTCAATGCTGTCTGTTATAGTTATTCTTCTTTCCAAAAGAAATTCATACAGCATTTTGGAGGCCATGGCAGTTTTCAGTCCATCAAGTGCACTGTGCCTGGTCTTGGCACTAAAATCAATTAAAAATGAAGAAACAAATTTCACGTTAACTTTGAAATCACAAAAGTACACATTTAGAATGGCTTGCATCATTAAGGAGGCTTCTACTTATCCCCATGTCTTATTGCCACAAATTCTTTTGACAGCTGTTGAGCAGGAGGGTCCTGCAGAGTCCCATCCTGAAGCTTAACAGGTCACCCAGAGTCAGTCATTTCAAGACATGATCAGGTTGAGCACCACAGAGCCAACACTGACTATAGATTATGCAGTTTGACACACTAGGCAGGCTCCCAGATTATACCATGATATGAGGTTCTGTAAACACAGAATTTCTTTTGCAGCGTCTAAAAAACTAAAATCAAGACTGGGCAAACATTTGGCAGCCGACACTCTATGTACACAAGTGAGACTTGCTAAAAATCATCTATAAATATTAAATGGGGAAATGCTGAGGTTCAGGAAACAATTAATAAATTTAACATTTATAATTTCCAAACAATTTGGGAAAGCAATTAAAAGGCAAATGACATTAGCATATATTGGTAAAAGCAAAAACCTCATGTAGAACCATATTCAAGTCTGGTCCTAACCTACTGTACTACAGAAAAGCTTGTTGCTCTGGAATAGATCCAGAGAAGAGCCACCAGTGACTTCCCCAGACTCAAACGAATGTCTTACTGACAGGCCTGATGCGTGAGGACCAGACTCGAGTATTCAGAATCACCAAGGAACAGACAAAGCCAATGGCCTGCTGCAGAATCAACTGTGAAAGACAAACTACAGGACAAGACCTGAAACTAGGGGAGAGGGAACTTGGTTGTGGGAGTCTGGAACAAACCACCCCCCCCCCCCCAATGTTGTTGAAACTCTTCTTCCAAAAAATGGCTGCAGGAGCTCCTCGGGTCAATTAGCTGAATTAGCTGCTAAAAAGTAAAACGAGCTCAATGGGCCAAATGACTTTGCAAATGAGGAGGCATTTTCTTAAGCAAGTAATTTGTTCAGTTAATGAAACGCATGCACTGGAGGGCTAAAGATTTGTTCCAAATTATCTGCAAATTAAAGTCTCATCTACCATTGATCACAAGTAAAATCTTCCAAGCCTTTAGAACGGGGTTGTCTAATCCTGGCTCTCAATATCCACAGGGTGTACAGCTTTCCATTCCTGGTCTGAACTTAATGCTCTGAACCAGATCATCAGCTACCGGTTTTTTTGCTTAAATAAGAAAAAAAAAAACTATAAAAACCACAGAGGCTGGCTTTCCAGATCCAGGATTGGTGATTCAATCATTTCTAATATGAGCTGGGACTCCCGAGGAGTAGGGAGGGGGGATACCCGATCTAAACTACTTTATAGTTTAGATCGGGTATCCCCGATTGCAGCACTGCAACAGAATTCAAGCCCATTTCTACAGCACTTTGTTGATCTTGCCACATGAGTGGAGGACAGCAAAACACACAATCACACAATCTTAAACGTAGTATTTTGGTTGATACATTGACCTCCAGCCCATTCAGCCTGCAACTTAATATTCAAGAGGTCTTAGGATGTTACCTACATGTATACACAAAAAAAAATCTCCAGAAAAAAAAATGCATGCTACTCAAATGTACAGTAGTATGGCATTTTATTTAGCAAATTCTACCGTATATGCAGAAACATGCACAAGGCAATCCACCTCTCTTCAGCAGGTAACCCTGGACGTGGAAGATTAAGTATAGAATCTTTGAAATAAATCTTTTCCCTCTTTTGGCATTTATCAAACTAGACTGGATCAGTAAGTACATTCCCAGACAAACACCCAACGCAAATTCATCTTAAAGTAAGTGTGCTTTTATTTATACTACTAAAAACTAAAATGCTAATTACAAAGTAAATAAAATTTATAAGAAAACACCACTTCAATGGAAAGTCACATGACTTACCACAAGAAATCCCATGATTCCTGTCATGTGGAATGATACCTTGCCCAATGGACAAAATAGTGCCTAATCAAAAAACGTCTTCTTTCTTCTTTCCAAACACATCTGAATTGTCCGCAGGTCTTCAGGCCTTCTTGCAATCGCAGACGCATTGAGAGGAGGGCCTTCTATGGTAGCCACAAAATATTTCAGATTGCTGAAAACCTACCTGACAACTTGTAGAATATGTGGCTGGTGCTTGTTTAGTTACACGTAAAGCAAATCCACTGAGGATTGGACTCATAAAAATATATTTTGTGGTTGGTAAAAAAAATAAAATGTAACTCTAGAATGTTACCACTTCTTCCCAGACAAATCATGAATTCAGTTGCATTAAAATACCGTCAGCCGGTTAGATTAAATTCTATTTCGGGAAACCTTCAACAGGAATTTTAAATTTCTCCAAAAGCTTTACCAAGCAAATCAAATTTGATTATACAGGAAATACAGGAAATCTACCCCAGGTTTTATCACAGTGTTTACATCTTAACTGAGAAGGGCTTTTCAGAAGCATTAGTTTTGTTGTATAAATACAAGCAGCATTTCTTAGAAGTAAGAACGCCAGAAATGCATCGGTATATCACTGACATCTAAGAAGAGAGATTCCATCACAGATACAAATCATTATTTACAGTCATTATCCCACTTTTGAGAATACTGTAAAGGTTTTATAATAAAGAGCATGTTTTCATTGTTCCATTACAACATGCAACTTAAAAATTCAATTATGAAATTGTGCAATTTATTGTCCCCCCCCCCCCTTTTAACCCAGATACTTTTTCCAAAACCTTATTTCTAAATTCAGATGGAAAATCCAACATCCATATCTAAAATTTTAAAAAATGCATGCTAAAAAATATTTCAAGTGTAGTGAATAACCATCAACATAAAATAAAGCTGCATTACAATTTTAAGTCACTCTTTAACAGGAGTAGATTAGATTACAGTCCCTCATGTATTAAGAGGCCAATCAGAGTGGTTGCTTAACACAGGTAGTCTCTTAACCATAATTTAACAACTATACACTATACTCTTTATGTGTGGATTGGAAAATGTCAAAGGAGTTGTTCATTTTTTAAGCAATTTAATACCTTACTGTGATGTTCTTAAGACATCATACAGTTTATTTTCCCCAATTCAGTAACTTTAATTTATTACCCTCAATATCAAAATAATCTCTCATCCCCGAGTTTCTCTTTCAAACATTAAATCCTAGATCCTAGTAACTCTAGCCCTGGGGCCTTCCATTTATTTACCCCAATTTGACCAACTTTAATTCAGTGATCCATTTTTGGTGGTTGTCACTATAATTCATGACTTTAAACTCTCCTATATATATATAAACAGCTGCCAAAATGGTCCTTCAATGCAGGACTGGGTTTGCTTTCAGATCACTTAAGAAAACTGTAGTCACTTCTTAAACAGGTGTTAATAGAACATAAGTTGAACATTTTTTTACTTGTTTCATATCCTGTTAAGAATTTGTTGCAAGATTCTGCTTGGCTTTTTTCCTTCTTACTAAATTGAGCACATTCTGTGAATAGCTCTTCAAAAAAACTCATTCAACCTTGAAACAACTTCCAGAAGCACCCTTTAACTCCTCAAGCAATGTGCACAGCAAGAAAACACTAAGCAGAAATAGATCACAAAGGCAGGACAACCACATAATGTAACAAGTGAAGAGCAAAATGACAGGAAAATTGTGCAACTATTCAGTAAAATACATGAAGTCTAGAAAACCATGTTCCCTACTCCACTTTACTTGCCTTTTATCCAAGGTGCTGTCAATATATCCTTTTAGTTTGTATTCAAAGTCTTCTTGAGCTGCGTCTTCACTAACATCACCAACTGCACAGCAACAAATGACAAAATGCCAACATTAAGGCCACAGCAAGTTGCTACAGAATGTACAACAACTGATTTTAAGGCAAAAACAAAGCTCTGGGCAATAATGTACTTCACCGTACATACAGTTCAAGCTCAACATTTATTCCATCTCATTCTACACAAATCCATGAGGACAGGTTTTGATCAAGAGACTGCCCCCCTCAGTCATTTGGGTTAAAGTCTTTAATATCTCCAAGTTCTTATTTAGAGGCTGCTCATTACAACAGAATGTCTGTACTAGTACATATTATTATGCCCAAAGTACCAAAAAAAAAAAAACAGAGTTTAAATGGCTCTTCTAAACTGAAGTCCAGAAATGCCTGCAATCAGAAGAACTTTGGAAAATTTACCTTCCTCGGCTACACTGGCAGCATCACTAAGGCTGCTGCAGTGGCTCAATGTTTCAATGGAGGCATCCTCGTCACTGAAGGGCTGCACACCTCTGTGCTGTCCTCCTGTTTAACAGGGAGCAAAGACAATGGACAGGAAAAAGATCATTAAAACAGTGTGCCTACAAACCAAGTATCTCAATTTCTAACTGAATTCTCAGTTTGGGGCTAGGCCTAGAATTAATATTCATATACAGTACATTCATTCAATATTAAAACAAACCCAACCCCTTTAATTAGTCTAACTCATTAGTGCTGAACGCCAGTCCTCAGGAGACCAAAATCAGTGGATTTTCCAAGACTCTTTAAATAATCTATACCTAATCCCCTAACCCCCAGCCCCGACTTTCTCTTTAAATTATCTAAATCCTGGATGGAAATCTAGCCTTGCTCTTTTTTGTAACCTTAGCCAGGAGCCCAAACACTAAGGTGCATCACAGCCAAACCAAGCATTACTATAACCAAAAAGCAAATCCAACAAAGATTGAGTACTACACCCAATTTTAACAATAAACATTTATACACGGTCTTCGGCAATTACAACAAATCTTCATCTCGCCAACCACCTTTAAATTCAACCAAACTTTAGCCATAATCCTAAACTAAGGGTTATGTGGTGCCAATGTCACATTATTCTTAACCAAGTCTCTACCTCAGCTCTCTATAGCCGAGAGTTCATTAAGAATAAAATGTGCTTTATAAGACTGTCATTACAAAATAAAGTAGTGTGAAATCAGGGCAGATAAAGCTGTTAAAGAAACACTGAGCCTCTGTGAGATCTGGATACAGGCCAGAACAAGAATCCTGCATGAACACAGCTTTTCCCCTCCTAGATGCAGGATTAATGGGATTTATTTTTTAAAATTGATTAAAAGAAAGATTTTTTTAAGAAAGTAAAAATTTAAATCTATGTAAGGCACAACTAGCAAAAACTACTGAAGTTTCTGCGTTTTTCTGTCCACAGTCCGACTTCCTTTTCCTCTCAGAGTAAATGCAGGCTAGCCTAGCCCCTCCTTGTAGCAGGTCATTTTCCACACTTCCCAGTCTGACCAACCACAAAGTGGGACTTTTTAAACAGTTAAGCTAAAGACAAGTAGCTGGAAAATCCACCTTGTTCTTTTTTCTCTTTACAAGGTCAAGGTCGTGGCCATACAGCTGAAAAATCACAGAATTAAGACAAACAAGGCCCCATTACAAAGCTATCAGCAATTGCCAAAACATACCAGAATTAAATCACCAAAATGGTATCATTCTTGGAAACAAACAGGGTTGAGAAATGAATACATAAACACCAGGTCCACTAAACCTGCCACTGAATTACACATTGTTGGAGATCTTCTGCTAACAACTGAAGATATTTATAGATAAATATGAAATAGAGTAATAATTCAATGTATTTTTCTGAATTGGGAATTGAGATATTGGAAACATTCCTTCTTGACTTCTAAGCAGCATACACCTGGAAGGAATTCCCAAGTGGTATTAATGGAAAGATTTTAAGTTGTTTATTTGGCTTACCTAAATTGTTTTTCCATATCTTAGTATTTAAGTTTAAAAATATGAAGGATTTTTTTTAATATTACATTGCCTGTTGCTTGCTTTAGAATACAGTTTCAATGTATTCTGGCTACTTAAATATATTGGTATAATGGGTCACCTTCACAATTCCTTAAACATTTCTTTATGTAATTCCAAGAAGACTATCACGTGACTAAAGGCTGGACTATACATAGTCACTTTTACACAGAAATGAGATTAAACCCATGTGATAAGTTATCATAACTCACAGACCAGGGCACTGAACAGCTGATTTGAAAACTTTAGCAGCAGTACACGTTGTGTAAAAAAACATCTCAAATCCTACACTACATTAATGTAGGTGTTTTTTTTCTATGAAAGGTGAAAGCTTAAAATACATGTACTCATTTTAATACAATCCAAGTCAATTTTCAGTACACTCACACTCATTTTCAGAATCTAGTTATTTAATAAATTTAGAACCTCACAACTATGGTGGTTAAACTTAAGCCTTACCTAATAAGTAAAACATGTAAATAATATTAAAATAGAGGCTCAAAAGAAACGCGAACATATAAATATGAAGACACCCGCACATTTAGATTTTAAAGACAACCGGAACTCAACCAATAAACTCAATTGCAGTTCCAGGAAAATAAAACCCCAAGCGTAACTTTTTGAAAAGTCTAAAAGACAAGAAACAACAGTGTCGTATTTTCCATATAAAGCAAAGCGGAATAAGGATAAAATATTGCAATATTGAACTATCGTATCGACGTCTGGCTATTGAAACATAAAAATGATCACTGAGAGTTCAAACCTCTTAAATTGTCTAGCTCAGAAGATGACTAAGACGTTGGAGAAATGAGTAAAAATATTGTGACTCAACAGTAAAGCGTCTGTCAATATGTACCGTACAACACGTTGTGTAATGGAAGCTAAACTACATGTGTATGAATGATGTGCAGTAATGCATTCCAAAAAAAAAAAAATCAAGAGATTCATAATTTTCCACAAACAAGCATGTCATCCTTTACAATAAAGGAATTCATAGTGAATGGATTAACTGTACTGGGTTTATTAAATACACCTAAAATAAATCAAGTACATAATATTTTACACCACCATTTCCCGGTCATTCGTAATCCGCAACCGGCGCCATAATTTATTATGCCACGTACTCTATGAATGTGGTAATTGATGGCATTTGTATCCTGATTTTCCCACAAAAAAATGGCATTGCGAATTAAGCGAAAAGAAACCCTGCTTACATTTCTAGTATACATTTAATGTTAAATTCCATATTCACATTCTTAACTAGAACAGGCCACAAAAATCTGGGCAATGTAGTTTTTCATCATAGCTAAAATAATAATATATTGAGGAACTCCTTACTACATAGAACTACAACTCCCAACGTTCATTTCGCTCAAGACGGCTAAAGAACCAGTAAAAACAAGCACCATCTCTGGCTTACCTCTGTTATTCCTCTTCTTGGACCGTGGCATTCTTATACAAAAATAATTCAACTTTACAACAAAAATCAGCCAATAGACGACCAGTTTTTACTGTATTGTCTCTCCAGATGAAAATCGCCACACGGCACCGTTGAAAGATAAGAATAAAAAGCAATCCCAGTGAAAGTCTGCAAACGAAAACGACACATCTTCCCTCTAAAACCAGGGCTAAGCAAGACACACTTGGCAACAGGGTTTTATATGGCAGACATAACGCACGTAGGATAAGGAGGGGCTTGACGTGAAGTATGCTATTGAGCTTTTGTAGAGCCAATAGTGTTGCCGGCTCCCTGCTGTAGCTGGCTGTGCATTAGTCTGCTGAAATGTGAAACGTCACCCTCAGACTTGCACACAATTGGAAAGCCAAGAATCCCAGATGATTTACAGCAGAGGTTCTCGGTTCTGTTGCTGGAGTATCACTGTGTCTGAAGGTTTTTGTTCGAACTGGGCCCTTAATCACAAATGATGTTACCTGTAACTAATTGCTTGCTGTTTAAGACATTTTCTCAGCACTTATCCCTCGATTTAAAAACTACCCTAAAATGCATTCTTTCCAACTTTAGCACAAAGACCTTTGTGTCGTCTCTCCTCATTTTGCTAATTAAGAAATTGCTCCCTTATTTCTAACTAAACAGCCAGTTGATGAATAACAAACACAGGTGGGAATGACACTATCAAAAAATGCCACAGTGAGTCAGTGTTTTTCCTTCTGCATATACAGTATTTCAGCCAGGACACCTGAATTATTATTACATATAATATATTATTACAAATTATTCATCTCATTTAGATTTTTAAGAGCTGAAAGCACATTTGAGAAAAGAAGACTCAAATACAAATTGAAATTAGCCAGTGATGAAGAAATCATCTGAGGTGAAAAACTAAAGACACAGGGTGAGGATTGAGAAACACTGTACTGGGGTTTATTTGAGTACAGATAAAAAGCCTAAATAATCAAGCACATCAAGTATTAGCAGTGTTTAGCATTGGTGTTTAAGGGTCCAATTAAAACACAAACCAGAAGACACAGGGGTCCTGCTGGACCAGGGCTGAGAGTCAGGGATCTGATTGCATTTTGTCAAAAAAGTCTTATTAAAGTTCATTAATGTGCTAGATTCACACTGCAAAAGATAATTATTGAATGTGATGTTATAACATCCCTAGAAAATGAAACTACTCTGCTAGTCTATCTTTCAAATGACGTTTCAAGCTACTGTACAGTATATGGAAAAGCGCAATATGCGATTTGTAAAATACTGTATGTTCATGCAAAAGGTTGTTTCTATAATAACTGTTCCCTCATATACACCCCCATTAAAAAAACAATTTGACTCTCAATTAATCCTTGAATTCATTGAAAACATTATTCTGTTGATGTACAAAATCTAACTACATTTTAATGACAGTATTTTATTTGACAGTATATTATTAAATACTGTTACATAATTCCATTAAATTAGCTAGCAAAATGCTAAACTCCACCCTTATTAGTAAAACATCTGAAAGAAGATTTACCGTAAAGGTCTATCAGCTGTCAAATGTTTGAGCCATTCCTCGCCTTAGCTTATCTTCTGCATGCACACAGTTGTACAGCCTACTGCTCACAGCAACACCAAAGATCAATGTAATAGCAAAACAGTGCTCAAGCTGTTCCACCCTTCTTATTGAAAGGCACTTTAATTCTCTAAATTCTGTGGATATATTGTATACCATGCTGCATGCATAGCAAGCTATGCACATTGAAGTGTGCTGGAGGTTTTCCCTGTGATTCAATATCCTGTAATGGTTAAAGATATATCAAACTCTATGTAAGGATGGAAGGACATAGCTAGTTATGGCATGTGATTTAATTTCACAGTAACGTCCAACATTCACGAAATGTGATAATGGATTATATTTTGAAAAATAGCTTATTTTCATTATTGTTTGAAAGGGCACAGGTGTAAAGTGTGAATCTGAGATGGAGCAACTGAAGTACAAGCAACTAACGATATATGTTGTATTTGATTATAGCCGTATTATTGGGATTCTACGACCGAGGCGCTACATCCATCACAGTACAGGGCGCTGTTTCTTTCATTCATCTCCCATGGAGTCTCTATCCCTGCCTTTCGGCGCAAGACTGTAAGTCCGGCGCAGACCTAAAAAATCTTCACTCACTACTGCTCCTGGAGAGCACTACGCTTCCCCCTGCATCCCCGATACTTGCCAGATCAGCACTACTCAATACCCATTCCATAAACAACAAGGCTAATTCTTTATGTGACTTTACCAAAGAAAAAAATGGACTTCCAGTGCTTAACCGAAACCTTGCACGGAAAAAAATGTTGCACTGCTGTTTAACCAACTAGTCCCTCCTGGGTATGGTTTGTTAGACCTTCGGTGTCTCTCAGGCAGAGGTGGGGGCATCATTGTTATTTACAACCTTTTTCACAATTTCTATCCCTCTTCTTTTGAGTGCCTTGTTTTAAATGTCTCTATCCCCCAATCTACTATCATTGCCACAGTTTATAGACCAACCAAACCCAGCGAAGCCATTTTGTGAGTTTGCTGATTTGCTCTCATTTTTCTGCCTTAAGTTTAAAAGGATTCTTATTTTTGGGGACTTTAATATGCACATTGACTCAAGGTCTTCCAATCTGGCTAAAGATTTCCTATCTCTTTTGGAATGTTTTGATCTTACTCAGTTTGTTTGTAGCCCTACACATTAGAAAGGACACACCCTAGCTTTAATCATTGCAAATGACTCTTTTGTCTCCCACTGCTCTTCCCTTGAACTAGGCCTCTCTGACCACTTACAGTAGCTATTCTCTTCACTCTGGAATTACTCGTTTCTAACACTTCCCCCTCACGCTCTGTAAAGTTCCACAACTGGCGATCAATTAATCAGCCAAGGTTTTCAAATTATGTTCTATCATCCTTATTTTGTTTCTCTCCCTCTGACCCTCTAGAGCAGGGGTTTTCAACCTGTGGAAGCAACTGTCTGGGGGGGGGGGGTCGCTAGATTACAAGACATTTAGGCGCAAACAGGCAAGTAAAATGAAAAAAATAAAACAACTGCAGTGTACATGTTGCTTCTGTCGTCTATTCTCGTTGGCGAAGGCTTCAACAGAGTTGAGATTTAGCATTATACCATCATTATGTCACGACCGCCGTGCCAGCAGAGATCAACTCGTAAGCGAGCTAATCAGCACCAGCAGCGGGTTATTATTAACAAGCGCCGCCGCACAAGTTAACACACCTGCAATTGCTCTACCGTGTGGCAGGCCGGGTTATTTATACCATTCTAACCTGCTTCCCGTTGCTCGGTATTGAGTTAACGTCTCATAAGCTCTACCTAGCGTTTCCTCTACCTTTTTGCCTTCCTGGAATTTTGGACTACACCTTTTTGCCTTCAGACTACGGATCTCGCATTGCCCCTAGGATTGTTTGCTATCAGTGTCTATACCGGATTTACTACTGCTCTCTTTTCGACCTCGACTCTGTCGCATGTTTTGGATTGTTCGCCACAAGTGTCTCTACCGGATTTCGACCTACCTTACACCTTCTGACTACGATTCAGCTTCTAGTTTCGGTTTGTTCGCTTACTTACCTACCTAGGACTCCGGCATCTGCATTGGATCCTTTTCACCTCTTCAGAGCAGCATTACAGTTTAAAAATGGACCGGTGGCTTATTGCTAAAGTTAAGAACAGTGGTGAACGTGAAAATGTGTAAAGTGTGTGATAAAATCAGAGAAGACAGTGGTGTTTTTGAGTAGGAATCCACAACCGACCCCATCGATGTCATTGAGCCATCCACCTCAAGTGCAGGGCTAAGCTCAGAACTGAAAAACCTGGGTAAAATTAAAGGCCCCGGTGCATTTGATGAAAATGAAAGGTACATAAATTATGGATTCACGTGTATCATATTCAATGACGAACCACATCCACAATGTGTTTAATGTTCCGAGGTACTTGCAAATGACAGCTTGAAACCTATACAAAGATAAGACGGTTGACTTTTTCCACCATAAAGAATCAGTTGGCTATCCAAAAACTAACAATGCCAAAACAGACTACAGTGACAGCCAAAGCCCTGACTGACTCATTTGAAGTGACGTAATTGATTGCCAAAGCTAAAAAGCCTCATACAATTGGCTAGACTCTTATTCGCCCAGCAGCATTGGCTATTTGTCGAACTATGCATGAAGTTAGCCAGCGATATTGAGCAGATTCCACTCTCTGATAATACGATCAGCCGCCGATTCAGTGAGATGGCGAACGACATTAAATTTCAACTGATAGAGAGAATTAAGGGCAGGAAGAAGATTTCATTACAATTGGATGAGACGACAGACATCTCAAATGCTTGTATTCGTTCGCTACTGCTATGAACAAAAAATGTTTGAGGATTTGTTATTTTGCAGTGCAATTGAAGGAACGTGCAAAGGGAGGAATATTTCTGATAAACTCCATAGCAAATTTAATGAAGAGGGTCGAAGCAGGTACTTCAAACTGTCAAGACTTGCAGTTGATATACTTTTGCCTTTTGCCTTGTCATGGCTCTGCAAAACAACATTTTCTGTCCTTACTATTTACAACTAGCAGTGTCTGGAATTGAACCATGAATCCATGTGATGTGCTCTCAGAAACAGGCTTAACCATCACACTGAATAAGGTCAGTTGAAAGCTATGTATCCTCCTTTGAAAGTAAATGAATGAAAGGCGCTGAAATGCATGTACTGTATGTATACACAATGTCAGTTATATTGTGTGAGGAGGGTGTTCAAACTTTGGTACATCGACCGTCTACAATCTATGATGGTAGTCTCCCGCAAACATGAGCATAGGTGGTGTATTTCTATCTTAAATGTACATTATCAGGCTTGGAGAGATTAGAATAGAGTCTGCTAGATCCACATACTTCTCTCACATCATTGAAAATTACCATAACAACCCCAGACATCTTTTCTCCACCATCAAACTGCTAAAGCTAAAGCCAAACTGCCCTAACCATATTACCTGCCTCATCACAACTTTGCAACACATTCTTAGATTTCTTTACCTCCAAGATCGACAACATCCGACCACATTCTCTCCACTATGCATATAATTTCCATACCTCCTTCCTCCTTATCCAACTTTTCTGGTTCCCTTCTCTCCAACTTCTCTCTTCTTGACTCAGCATCCCTCAATAAACTAGTT